CTACCGTGTGTGGCCAGCAGCCAGCGTGAGCGGCCAGCAGCCGCAGTGAGCGGCCGTCCAGAAGCCAGTGACTGATCTGCCTCACCAGAGAAGAGCGCAATGATGGTGCCAACTTGGGCCAGTGAAGCAACATCCTCCACAACTAGATTGAAGAACAAAACGACAACAACTTGTCTGTTCCCCTTTCCCCAATTCCCCAGCACTGTTCCCATCCCCCCAATTCCCCAATAACAATCTTTAAAAAAAAAAGAATTACAAGGTGCATAATTTGTCTATTACTAAGAAATTAACAGCAAAACAGAATTATTGCAATATGTCTAAAACTCACTTATTCGGTTAAGATAAACAAAACAATCACTACAAGAAGGGGTGTCAGATCTTCATCCTACTGGGGGGCACCCAATGGGGAATTTAAATTTTCTAAGATATAAAGCAGTATCTGTTTCTCAGTCAGAGCTTCAGAATTTGTCACAATAGCAGTGTGCTTGGCCATGTCAGACACTGAGGCAGAGCTGGCTCCCAACACATACCTATATTTTAGCAGCATAATCTGACAAATAGGTGAAACCAAAGTTAAATGTTAGTATATGGGAGAGGGAGCAAAATTAATTTCAGACTTGCAGCCTATGTAAGTGAGAGGTTTTCAATGCCATTAAAAGACATGGGAAATTAAAGGGGGTTTTGGAGGGAACAGGATATGTTTTAGATTATATCATGGAAGGTCAAATGGTTGTAGGTCAGCCCAAGGGACATCTCTTGACTGCAGATAGAAAAATGGCTGGATGTTTTGCAGGAGAATTTCAGGAGTATGAATAAAGTCATAAGTATGATCTCTAGTTGAAGCCACAGAAAGAGCTGCAATTACTGGAGAGCTTGTAGAGAAAAAAATGGAGAGTTGATGCATAAACCTACATTAGAGAAGAAGAAAAATGGAAGCTAACAAGAGAATTTGTAAGCTGTATTGTGCAGTATTTAGTTAAGAAGTACTTGCAAGGACATCTTGAGGAACGACAAAGTACAGAATAAGAAATGGACTAACATTAGGTCCTGTTGAAGAGGGAAAGCCGAGGTAGCAGAAATAAATAGCAACCAGGATTATTTTCAAAGTTACACAACTGAAGGCTCACTTTTTCTAAGTATTCTCAATTCTTAGATTGCCATTCTGCTTACTTACCATATGAGAAGTGCTTACATTGCAAGTGCCTATTGTAAATTTATTGATTGGGTCTGATATCTCCTGTAAGAAGACAAAGTAGATGAAAGCTGAGCATGCCTGTGGTCATTCAAATGCATTTTCATTTATAAAAGTACAGTAGTAATTTGATTTTTGTATGTATGGGAGAGATAGTACTCAAATAAATGATCATCTTTGATATACAATTACAATATGTGTAATTTGTGAATCACTATAGATATTAGCTCAAATGGTTGTGACATAATCATCATGTGCAGGGAACCCGTATGGTTTTAAAATAGTTTATATGAAAAAGAAGTAGGGAGTTTGGATGATGGAAAGTTTGATACATGTCAGAAACACCATCATGCGGATGAGAGATTTGACTTGTACCATGTGGCCCAGTAGGGTTGAACTAATAGAATGGATTTCTCTTACCTTTATGAACAGACTTGTGTTCTTTCCTGGCCCTTGTGAAAAAATCCCTGGCCTGGGAGTAAGGAGACCTGGGTTCAAGTCCTGGTTGTATCCCTTGTTGAGTCCTTTTCCTTCTCTGAACCTTAATTTCTTCTTGTACAGAACTAAATATAATGATCTCCAAGGGTCGTATAAAAACTAGGGGCTCTAATCTGATGACAATACCAACACTGGTCTGATTTCTCACCCCGGCAGATGACAACCAGATCTTTGTGCAGACCTACAGCGATATGCCACTGTTGATCACTGTGTTTACTGGAACCCAAGAGGTGGTTGTGCCTTGCCGGGTCACTTCTCCTGATGTCAATGTCAAGCTTCAGTTGGTAAGTTGCATTATTGAGATCTCAGATAAAGGACTTGCTGCTATCTAGGGTATGAAACACAAAGAGAGTAGGGGACAGTGTTTCAGTCTCATTTCTGGTACTTGCTCCAGCTGTGTCATGTCTGCTTCTTTGGAGCAGCACATAAAAGCAGACATACTACCATTTTGCCTTGGACCAGTGTCACCACAAGAGGGTTGTACAAAGTAGGGGGAAAAGAAATGGATGCTTAGATGCCCTGTACAGATCCATGTGGACTATATTTAAATGTCCATATCCAGAGCTCTGGGGCGAGAGTGTTCGTTTTTCTTAAATAGAGAGAAAATAGTGGATAGTTTTCAGAAATATATATAAGGAGAAGAGGAGAGGGAGTGGAAACTCACCTATCTAACTTGATTAGTTAAATCAATTGTGGTGATAAATATAGTAACATATATCCCTTGTAGTTCACCTTCACATCTACCAAAGCCCTCGGTATCCATAGTTGTATAACATTACTACAAATTTTAAAATTGATTAATGTATATCACCTCCTTTGAGATACACATGTAACTGTTCTGTAAAGTGGATAAAACTAGCTTTATTATTTCCATTTTACACATGAGGGATCTTAGGCTTAGAGAACTTCCTATGGTCTATATTTCGTAAGGGTCAGAGTCAAAAGTAAAAACCAAGTATTCTGATTCCCTGCCCAGTGTTTGTGGCCTCCTTCAGAGTGATAGGCTACCTGTATTTTTCCCCTGGTTACATTGTTCCTTTGCTCCCAAGCCCTTTTTCATTTTCTTGTTAGGAAAAAGCTGTGAACCTCCCACAGCAGCAGGCAATGATCCCCTTATTGTCCTTCCATAGGGGGTGTCAGCTTTTTCCCATTGCCTTTTGTCAGTACAGCTGTGAAAGCTGAGTGGTGGGTCAGCCAGGAAATTTTCTGGTAGCATCAGCTGATGTGGCATAGGAAGATGCATAAGGCAGAAGAATTTAAGCTTAACAAGCTCCACCAGACCTTGGAATCCACTAGCTACTCCCTGAAGGTCACACTATCGTTTTTTGGTAAGCCCTCCTCTTCCCAAGCCTGTCTGCCCCTAAAGTTGTTAGAAAGTCCTTTATATGCTCAGTGGGGCAGTCCTCAGAGCCATGCTGAAGTCCTCCCTCCATTGACCTACCAGCTCTCACTCTTCCCTGGGACATTCTATCAGCTCTTCTGAAAGGAAACGGAAGGTGCTCCTTGTCTTTGGGACTTGATCCAAAAAGAAGCAGTAGTGTGTGGGGATGGGTGGAGCAGGGAGGATGCAGTCTGCTATAGAGTTTATGTGCTTGGCTGGCCACCTCATCCTTCCTCTACCTACTATGCAGGGAAGGTGGCCTGACCCACCCACCAGGCCTCCTTTTCCTCCTCCCCAGGCTAGCCTCCGGTGGAGCTTGGAGTCACTGTGTCTCTTTCTTCTGCCAAAAGGAAGCACTAGGTGGAGAAGGGACTGACCTGGCTAATTTCAGACATCCTTTTCTAAAATTAAACCTCACTAGTCAGCCAATTTACCTCCAGAGGATGTCCCTGGGTATGGGAGTAGAGACATAACCAGGACTTGCTTTTTTCTAAGGCCTTAGCTGCTATCTTGCCTAAGATTTAATTAGAGTAGGCAATCTCATGGTAGCCAGACAATTCCCCCTTCCACTCAAAGGAGATTCAAAACACCAACCCATAACATTCCACTTTCTTTTAAAATCAACCAACATTTTCCACAGTTCAAGTTAGCTTCTTTATTATCTCACTGTATTTTGAAAAAAAAAACATCTTAACTGCTGGCATTTAAAAAGAGTTATAGACTGAAGACTCTACCTCAACCCTTAGACACCACTTTCAGCCTGAAGCTTGGCTACTGTGATCTGAGTGGTGGATAAAAAGGGTACCCCTGAAGAAGGTATAGGAGGGTTTTTTATCACGTTGTAAATAGGTCTTGAGTTGTTCTCTAGAATCAGGTCAGTTTCCTTAAGCTCACAGAAAGAGAGGAGTTCTGAACTAAGAATTAGGAAACCTGGAATGTAGGTTGGATAACGATCTTTAGCCAGGTAGGGGACTGAATGTGGATTATGCCTTGTAAAATGCAATAGGCTGTACAGGTAAAAGTGCTGTATAATGACGGTCATTAGGATTGGAATTTCACTTCTTGGCTGTGTATTCCTACTTCCTGCTCTGCCACACAGACCCATGTAAGTGTGTGCTTTTTCCTTCTTGCCTTTTCAGTCTCGTCACTGAGTTTCAGTGATAATCAGCAGGTGGAGGAGAGAGAAGAGTGCCCCTTTTCCTAAAGTGTTGCTTCAGCAGAAGTGAGCTTTAGTTAAAAGCAAGCCAACAGTGTATTCAAGAGTTTACCCAATGGTAACTAACAGTAACTAAAGCCAAATTCATGAAGAAGGAAAACAAAACTCATCCTGAGGTCAAATTCAATATAATTTGCTTCAGTCCAACACAAGTACTATGTCTACTTTATGCCAAGCACTGCCCAAACATAGTAATAGCAAATTACCATAACGAATTACCACAAACTGAGTGGCTTAAAACTATAGAAATGTGTTCTCTCATGGGCCTATAGGCCAGAAGTCTGAAATCAAGGTGTTGGCAGGGACATCCTTCTCCTAAAGACTCTAGGAGAGAATCCTTCTTTACCTTTTCCAGTGTCTGGTGGCTCCACACCTTCCTTGGCTTGGGGCTGCATAACACCGACCTCTGTCACTGTCTTTACATGGCTTTCGCCTTCTGTCTCTATGTGTGTTTTCTCTTCTTCTGTCTCTTATAAGGACATATAAATGGGATTTAGGGCCCAGCCTAATCCAGGATGATCTATCTCCTCTCAAGATCCTTAAGTTAGTTATATCTGTAAAGATTCTTTTTACAGATAGGACCTTTGACAGAAATAACATCTCATTCAGAAGTCCAAGTACATATATTTTTTGGAGGGTGGGAATTACTATTCAACACCCTTACCAGTTGAATTACTATTCAACATCATTACAGGCCCTTACCAGTGTCAGGCACTCTGCTGAGAGCTTTAGTTGCATGATCTCATTTAATATTCACAACTGATGTTCTCAGGGTTCGATTCCTGCCTTCCAAGTAGTGTGGTATCAGTGTGTGTGTGTGTGTGTGTGTGTGTGTGTGTGTGTGTTGGAAGAAGATTTCATACTGGCCTTAATAATTTGTTTGTTTGACTAAATGCCCTATTAGATGCCTGTATGTACCAGACACAATGGGAGGGCAGAGGAGAAAGAGACTGCTTGCCTGAGGCAGTCTTCACTGAGGAGCTGAGCTGGTAACAACCTGGGACCTGATAAATAAGTAGAAACACCATAGGTAGATAATTGGGCAAGGAACACAAATAGAGATATGAAAACATGAAGGGGTAGCCAGTATTATTGGTTGAAAGTGACAGAAATCCAACCAAATCTAACACACTAGAATTGCCTTAGGTAAAATGGAAAGTGTATTTCCAAAGGAAGAATATGGCTAAGCCTCAGGAGCATGTGTTCAGTAACAGCTCCTCTCTCGAATACCACAGACCTGCTTCTTTCACAAAGGGGAGATGGTTATGTACAGGGCAGTAAGTATTCATTGCCAGAGAAGAACTGAGGCATTCCCTCTCTGACAACGAATTAGGAAATAATCACAGGGAAGGGTTTTGATTGCCCTACCTAGAATCCGATGACCACTTCTAGACTAATCACTGTAGCCAGAGAGGCAGGCTTTGTATGAAAATGGCAGCTCCCATACAAACTACATACTTAAAGCACATGTTTGTGTAGTGGGAAGAGGGATGCCAGGGCAGGTTAGTAGGAAGAGGTAGGATAAGAATAAGGGGAGGGTCCTATTCTGATAAATTGTGTCTAATATAGATAAATTAAGTGTCTAATAGAGATCTAACTTAGGATGGAAGGGAAGGGGAAGGGCAGAACAGAGAGATTTTAAATCTAATAGAAGAAATTTTAACCTTGGCACTACTAAAATGTGGTTTCAGATAGCTCTTTGTTGTGGGGTGGGGGCTATCCTGTTCATTGTGGGATGTTTAACAGCATCCCTGGCCTCTGCCCACTAGACATCAGTAGCAACCCCTTCCTCCCAGTTGTGACAACAAAAATGTCTCTAGACATTGCCAAATGTCCCCTGAAGAGCAAACCCCCTCCCCCATCCTCTTCTGAACCACTGATCTATAGGATTAATTAAGTGAATGAATTGTTCTTAGGAATGAGGCAAATGGAACACAAATTAAGACACAGAGTCTTCATTTTAGCACTGCAATCAGACTGTGGAATATTTTAGTATCCCACTGACACTGAATTTCTGCATAACCAGGCAATAAACTCCAGGTTTTTGACTCTCATGAATTACTGAATTCAGTTACCTTCTCAGCCTTTATTTTTTAAAATTTATCCCATGTTATTTATGTTTTCCTTATTTCATGGTATTGCTTTTTAATTGTTAAGTTCTCTGAGGATCCTAGTGTCTGGTAGTTAAGTACATTTAGATGATGGTGAAATTACCAACGATGTAAGGGCTTCTCAAAGGGGTCTAACAAAGATTCTGGTGAAAAGTGATATTTGAAAAATGCTTTTAAATATTTTTATTTGACTTAATATTTAAGAAGTTAAAAAATATGAAACTAAAAGGAAATGTGGTAAGCTTTCAACTCTAAGTTTTTTACAATGTGTAATTAGACAATTAGATGACGATCTTGTTCTGAGGTTAAGGATAAAAAGGCTTTGGGTAGATTCTGTTGGGTAAGAATAAGAGAACTGAACTGGGAGTCAAAAAGGGATAAAACCTCAGTGTTGGAAGAGACCTTGAAGTCTAATTTGCTACCTGATGCAAAAATTATTTTATAGCATCCTGGGCAAATAGTCATCCAACTCTTGCTTCAGTGTTTTCAGTGACACAGAGGTCACCATCTTCTTATTAAGCCAAAATATGCATCACTGTCATTTCTACTCACTTGTCCACATTTGACCCTCTGAAGTTATACTCAAGTTGAATTCTTCTCCCAAGTTCCCAAGTAAGAATTCCTCATATACTAGGAAAAGAGCTACCCTACCCCTAACCAATCACCAACCTCACCTACCACTTTCCATCCTCAAATGTTCTCTTTTGTCAGGCTAAAAATGTCCTGTTTCTTAAATTATTACTTATATCACAATGCTCCCAGAACCTTCATAGTTCTGATCATCCTCTTTTGGTTATGCTTCAATTTGTAAAGATCCTCCTTAAAATGTAGGGTCTAGTCTCACACACCAATGGACGTTAATTGGAATATTTTTGCTGTGATGGACTTTGGCAAAATACATCAAGTGCCTGGAAAATGCTTGTACCCTTTGACCTAATAATTATGCATTGTGTCAGGTGAATAAGCAAAGACTTAAACATAAAGATATTCATTGCCACATTATTTTCAATAACAAAACCAAAAGTTATTATAACAAATATTTAACAATAAAAGAATGGTTAAATAAATAATATAATAACCAATATTATACTGCTATTAAAATTATGTTTATGAAGAGTTTTTAGTAATATGATAACATCCTAATGATATAATGTAAAATAGGAAAAATCCAGGCTAAATTGTGTTTACAGTATAAGTATAGATATGTACCAATGTATACATACTTAGAAAAAGGACTATAAGTAAATATGTTTCATTGTTCCTAGTGGCTATTTTTGGGTTATAAGTCATTATTATTTTTCATTGCTTTCTCCAATATTTTTGAAAAATGTTCACAATTGGTATGTATTACTTTTATATTCACCAAAAGAAGATTTAGCAATCCAGGTCTATTTAGAAACCACTAGTTGAGAGTAAGCATTCAGTCTGTACTGTTTGCAGCTGGAACCCTAGGGCCCAGCACAGAGTAGACACTGTTAAATATTAAATGTTTGAATGAATGAAAATACCAGCTATAAATGAACAAATGGACTTCATGTAGGCCACTAAGTTCATTAAAGTCCTTTTCATATGTCCTTTCCTGAGGCAGAAAGAGCCACCCAGAGTGACAGATCATCAGTAAATATCGGGGCCCTGATGAGCAGATGTAGAACCTGGGAAACTGACAGCTCCAGCTCTCTCATATATCTTAAAAAGAAGGCCATAGTGAATCTTAGCATAGGCTCTAAACATCTCTAATAGAAGAGATCTGAACCTTGATATTTAATCCAATAATAAGCAATCAGTTAGGCAAGGTATCCCCTATAAACTTCATCTGTAAAATGAGTGTAACAATAATACCTACCTCATAGGGTAGTTGTGAAGATTAAATGAGCTAATACAGTGCCTGGCACATGGTAAGCATTGTCTACATGTTTACTAGTGTAATTATTATTTGTTGAGTATCTAGTTTGAGCTCAGAGCTGTGCTAATCTCTGAGAAGAAAACAAAGGTTAACCAGCACAGACTCAATCCAGAGGCAGCTTGTGTGGGAGAGGGGGAGGACAGGTCACTTCTCTCCTGTGGCTTCAAAGCAGAGAGCTTGGGCATGACACTGAGGACTGGCAAGATCTTTATATTTATGTCTTCCTGTGTCCTCCTTTCCTTGCCCCACAGTTACACCCTGCCACATTCACCTATGCAAGCCAAAACTGGGATCCCCGGAAAGGCTTCACTGTGACCCGACCCTCCTACCACTTCTACAGCAGCATACTCCAGTGCATTGCTGAAGTCAATGGGAAGACACACAGGTCATTGTATCTCCCACAGCGTTTGGGTATGTGATCTTGTGCTTTCAGGTTAAGAAATGGGATCCTGCTCCTCCTGAGAATCACTTGCTATTTGTATAAACCTTACTCCAGCTACAATCTCTTCCATATTAATAACCAGGGATTCTAAGCTTTTATTTTAAGAACTGAATGTATGTCAGAAAAAAAAGCCCAGTTCTTGACTGTTTCCAGTTGCCTGATCTGTTGACCCATAAAATTAGTGGTTTGTCAGTGTCTAGCAATAAATACTCAACTTTTATAAGAATTTATAAAACTATGAAATGATGGCACATATTGTGGCTAACCAATAGACATCTTGGAGTTCTATGTTAATGCTGCCCTTGTATAGAAGTGAAGATGGGCCTCTAACTCAGGGAAGGCCCCTTGCTCAGAGAATTCAGAAATGTGGCAGAATTAACCACAGAAGGGCTGGATGGCTTCAGATCACTAGAAGGAAAATCTTCCTGATGGAGAGGTTATTAAACTGGTTATAAAATTTCCTAAGCAAGATTCTAGAATCCTTTTCACTGAAAAAGCTTAGGAACTAGAAAGATAATCCCTGCTACCACCACCAACCCTTTTGATACAGTTTATATAAAATCTCATGGAACATTCTGGTTTGGTTTTGAGTCTACATTTCTCAACTAAGAAAGGGAATGAGGAATTGAGAATTCTAAAAAATATTCCATAATTAACATATTTGTCTTTTGCCTTCTTTGTCAGTATCACCATGCCATATGATCTATTTTCCAGAAACCAAGAAAGAAAATATCTCCATCAGATACAGCCACCAGAGACTTCTAATAGGAGACACCCTTTTCCTGCAGTGTGTTGCAGAGACCACGTTCAATGGACGAATCAAACTGAACTGGGTGTTTAATCGGCAAAATGTAAGGACACTGTCCCTACTCCAAATATTTACAAATCTGCCAACATCCTCTTTCCCTGCCATTCCCAGTCAGTTTCTACTCTGCGTCAAGAACCAGGCAAAGTGCTAAGCGAATCAAAAAATTGAATAATAAACAGCTTCTGCATTTAAGGAGGCCAGTCTTGTGGGGGGACTGCATTTCACTTTGCATCATATCATGGTTCGTTAATTACATATGTGATTTAATAGAAGTGCAGGAAAAATGTCAGCTCTTCATAGGGATTTTCTTCAGCTTCCTGTATAGCTGTGATAAGTTAGGTTCCTAGGAGTGCTCAATAATCTCAACTGACATATTCTTTTTTTCTGTCCCACCCCACAGTCCAAGACAATACCCAGGTGTTGTGAAGTGAAAAGGAACTTGTACCAAGGGTCCCCTGTGTACAAAAGCTACAGTAACTTGACCATCTGGAATGTAACTATGGAAGACAAGGGTTTGTACATTTGCAGGGAAGACAACAACACTGCCCTGCAAGCCAACATCACCATCACAGTGTACAGTATGTAAAACTTTCTTTCCTGATTCTTTCTTGAGGACTGTCCTGCCTGCTGTAATCCCCTTATATATAAGGAATCATGCAGACATATTTTCATTTCCTCTCCCATTATTATGGTCTCTAAGGCTTAGAGTCCCAATGCTTTGGTGCAGAAATCAGAAAAGCTAGCAAATGTCAGGCAGTCCCTTTTCTGTTCTCTCACTCTGCCACGGGGATTGTATGCTGGAGAGCACTGTGATTTAACTCACACATTTTTGCATCTTGTTGGCTAGTTATATAATAGTTTTATGTTTTAAGGACTTGGGGTGAAGTAGCTCATCAGTATTTTGGCCCATGTAAAGACTAGATTCTTGAATGTTCTATCTTCTTTGCCAATTTGCAGTGTGATCTTGGATAACTTGCTTTACTTCCCTGAGCTTCGTTTTTCTCATCTATGATCATCATCATTTCACTCATCATCATAATATGAAGTTCGAGGGTGCTTCTAGCTTGTTTTTCTGATATCAGTGTGACCATAGATTGCCTGGTGGAAAGAACTAAGTGAACTTGAATTTAACCTGATTACCTTGTGTTCATGAAGTTCTTTTCTTACAAAGACACATACACATACATATGCACGCATACACATATACTCACACATGCTCACACAAACATATTAATATACATATCCCTCCTAGCACAGTTACATGGACATACCTAATTTTTGCATGTATACATGAAAACCCTAAGCCACAAATACTAATACCTATCCACACACAAATACAAACACACACACTCCGGGTTTTTTCTGTAGGAAGAAATTTTACCATTTACGCTCAATTGAACCCTCTACAGCCTGGTTTATAAGGCAACCTGCTTTAGTTCTCTCAGCCTCTGGGTTCCATGTAGCCACTGCTATCAAATGGGCTCCCTTTGGTTAGAAGCAAGATTAAAACTGACTAAAACTAAGGACAATATCTCATACAACAAAGAGTCCTGAGGTTTACAGTTACAGTGCTGATACACTTAGTGGATCAACAGTGTCCTCTAGAAGCCAGGTTCCTTTCCCTGTTTTACTCTGCCACTCTCAGAATCTTTAAAGTGCGCCTCATGCTGCCACAGTCCCAGACCCCATATGCCAAAGATAGTGTCTTAGAGACAGGAAAAAATGAAAATCCCATGACTTGTGTCTCTTTTTAAGAGTTTTGAAAATCTTCCCCAGAAGTCCCTGAGCTAATTTCCCCTTTTATTTCATTGTTCAGAAATACATTACCTGAGCATGTTTTAAATAATCACTTGGCAAGAAATAAGATCAACATGATTGGCTTAATTAGGTAGCTCTCAACTCACAGGCAGTATTGGAAATGCATAAGGGCATTTTTTACTTGTCAAAATGACGGGGGGTCGCTACTGGCAATGATTGGACAGACCAAGTATTATAAACAGCCTTCAAAGTTTAGGATAGTATTGCACAACAAAGAATTTTCCCTTACAGAATGCCAGCAGTGCTCCCCTCCAATTCACATTGAGAAACACCAGTTTATGACAATCAAGTTTGACCCTCTGGGGCTGTGAAGGATGTGACTGCTAATAGGAAGGGTGAACAAAATTGAGATTCAGTTATACCTTCTTCCTCTGACTCCATACCTGTCTACTTCCAGAGAAAGCCTTCCTCAATGTGAGCCACAAGAGAAGACGAATTTATGAGGTGACAGCTGGGCAAAGTATGCTCAAAATGGGAGTAAGGGTGGATGCTTTCCCTCTCCCCAATGTGACCTGGTAAGTAGAGCATTTTTTCCTGGGTATCTCTGTTCCTCAGAGTGTTTTACCCCCACCCTTAAGACCTGCTCCTTCAACACACCCTTATTGAGGGTCAGTCATATAGCAGAACCTGGGCTAGGTACTGAGGACTCAGAAATATACTCTAATCATAACCCTACTCTCAGGGCACTCACAGCCTCAGAAACTAGTGCTTTATCTCCTCCTCCACAGGTTTCTTTGTTTCCTTTTTCCTTTCTTGATCTCTTATGTATTTGGGGAAAAATGTGTTTTCTACTCTGAAAAGAGAGGTGGAAATAAGGCTGGGATGGTAGCCAAAGCCACTGTAGAATTCCACAATCTCAGGTTTGGAAGGAGTCTTGAAGGTGAACTTACCCAGTCTAACAGAGGTCCTTGAATACCAGGATAAGAAGTGATAAGGTAGAAAGAATATGGGCTTTTGAGCCAGACAAACCTGTGTTCCAGTTCCAGTTCATCAAGTTACTAAACAAGTTACTTACATTCTCTGAGCTTCAGTTTCTTTATCTGTAAAATCTGGGTGATGATATCCTGTCACAGAATTGTTCTGAGGAGTAAATTATAAGTTGTTGTTGTTGTTGTTGTGTTTATCTGTATTGCTTATTATGGTATGTAGTAGAGAACCATCAAAGGTTCTGGAGTCAGGAGTGATAGATTTGAAGCTAAGCTTTAGGAAGATTAATGTGGCCTTATGCAGTTTGGAATGGAGAAAGACTAGAGAAATAGCTACCGGTTTAGGGGGTTTTAGCAATAGTTCATGTGAGACATAATATGGGCCTGCAAAATCAGGAGACAATGGGAGTATAAGAAGGGATAGACCTGAGAAACATTTGCAGAGGATAATCTTTAGGATTCAGATTCCAATTAGATATATGAATTAAAACCCAAGGATCTGTAATCCTTCACAGTTTTCAAGCTTGGTGGATTATGAGACTGGTGGTGCTATTAACAGCCTATGCTTCATCAGGATGAAAAGGGGAGCATGAAAGGAACATGATGATGAGCTCATTTAGAGATAGTCAATGAATATTTGGAAATATGGGTCTGAAACTAGGTGTTGAAGCTGTAAACTAGAGAGTGGATAAATGCCCCCAGGAAGAGTACATAGGGAGAAAAGAGCCCAAAGGTAGAACCTGGGGGATCATTTATATTGGGTGGGGAGGTTATATGCCTTTCTTATCCTACTACTATGAATTACTGATATTTACACAGCACCCTACATGTATTCAGCTTATTAGCAACTCCTAAAATTTCTTAGTCAAAGCCCTCTCTCTCCGTATTTTACTGGTCTGCTAAAGTATTGGGTTGTCAGAAAAGTCATGACGTATTTTTTCTATGTTTTTTGTTGCAAAAATGTATCATGACTTTTCTGACAACCCAGTATTTTAAGTACTTACTCTGTATGGAGCACATATTTAAGGGGGAAGAAAATGGAAGAAGAGTCAGTGAAGAAGAGAGAGAAACAATGATTATAACAGTGTCCCAGAGGCTAAATGACGAAGACATGGTCCCTCAGTCAAACACTCCAGAAGACTGGAAGGTTGTAAATGCTGAGAGAAGGCCACTGGCTTTGATAAATAGGGCACTGGTGGGGAAATTGGAGAATATGATTTTGAAAGGGTGTCAGGGAGGAAAATCTGAGTTTAAAATGTTAAGGAATAGATGGAAAGTGAAGAAGTGGAAGCAAGCATGAGGGCACTTTCCAAAAGTTTTGACTATTAAGGAAAAAGGAAGAGACAGCTTCAATCTTTTACAACCAGTGTGGCTGTACTAAGGTGCTCCAGCATGGGAATTGTATGGAAATGATTCCACTGGTTTGTTTCTTCTTGCTGATTATGATGGAGCCGAACCCAAATGCCTCTGGTGTAGAAACCTGGATGTCCTAGAGGTCAGCACTGTACTAATCATTCCTTCCCCACGCCTCACAGGTTCAAAGATGAAAAGCCACTCCCAGTAAACCATACCTTTCAGCCTGATCCTCTTAAGTACAAACTCACAATCCTGGAAGTGAATGTAAAGCATGCTGGGAACTACACTTTTGCTCTGAGCAACACCAAGCATGGCCTCTACAAAAACCTCAGCATACAACTGATTGTCAATGGTGAGTTATTGGGATTTGGGAGTCATGCAACTCTTCCAGGTTCCTGTCTCTGTTTTGTTAGGAGAAAAAAAAAGATTCAAAGTAGGGATATGATAGGAACTACCTCAAGTATGCAGAGACAAGGGTTTTGAAGGTGGTTTTTGGTCACCAGGAGTTTGCTGATTAGCCCTCTATGCTGATAAAATTTTCAGAGTTCTGATGAATTCATTTCCTGTCATTTTCTGTTACCAAAGACCCTTAAAATTGGTCTCTTTTTATTGAGATAATGTAATTTGAGGTGAGGGGAGCCAAAACTCCACCTCAGTACCTTTTTCTGTACAGTAATACCTTGGTTTGTGAGCATAATTCGTCCCGGAAACATACTGCTCATATTGCAAGACATCGCCCATTTACCAAATTAAAATGTATTAGAAATGTTTGCTTGTCTTGTGGAACACTCACAAACCACATTACTCGCAATCCAAGGTTTTACTGTACATGAAAGGGACTGGAAGGAAAAGATTACATTGTCTTCCATGGCTTATCCTAGATGCACTCCCACTGATTTCCCTTGAAACTGAACAAAATGATATAATCAGACATTCTGAGCAGAGCCACCACCACTGTCTGCCTTATAATGTCCTTGCTCCAATTTTATCTAGCTGCTTGAAAGCCAATGTTGCTTAGCTAGCTTCTCTCCTACCCCAAACAAATGTTCTATTCTAGTCTCTCTGTCTCTGCATCGTCTTCCAGTGGAAGAGCTTTCAACCATTATGAGAAGCCTAGTTTACCTTTCACCTATATGTTGGGCTTCTGATAAGAAAGTGGGAAGTGGTGGAGTCCATGATAAATAAGAGCTGCTTTTGAATAGAACGATCCTTTCTTTTTTTAGCTTTTGCTCATCAGAGAGCAGACTAAGAAGGAGAAGCCAGCTGGGTCCTTATTTGTCTCTAGGACAATGCCTCCTCATCCTTTCTTTCTCCACACCACTGTTTTTGCAAAGGTGTAGGGGTTGGGGGAGGGGAGGGAAGCTTCCTAGATTCTTATCCAGCATCTTTGTGTTGTACAGCATCTTTGTGTTATCTATGTTATTTGTCCATTCTTGCTTACCTATGAATGTTCCCTGGATTTGTCTAGGTCTTCCAATATAAAAACAAGTGGGATAATTTGAAAAACTATAAATAGCTACCACCACTATCCTCTTCGCTACCATGATTGCCATAGTTAGATGATTTCCAGTCTGGACACTGGGATAAGCACTTGGTGGCTTGTTTGCCATCCCTGCTGGTCTCTCAATCATGTCTCATCACTTGTTACCCTGGCAGTCAGGTGGGCACATAATGAAGGAAAGGCTAGGCTTAGAATCTATTCTCAAACTCAGTTTCTCTGACTCAAGCTCTTACTGGACTTGTGACCTGAGGCAATTCACTTTGCCCTTGTGATCCTCTCTTTTGTCATCTTTAAAATAAGTATCATGATACCTGCCTTACAGGACTGTCATAAAAATGACACGAGTTGAAGAAAGTCTCATGTTTTGCTGTCATCTTTTCCTTATCTTTTATCAGAGTTCTTCTGCCAAAATTGTTGAACATTACTACTTCAGCAGCATATCTTAGGCACCCTAGTTACCAAGAAATAGTTTCTATATCAAGTGAAGTGTCTAGAGATAGACTATAGTCTATTCCAACTAAATAAAGGCCAAAGCCAAAATATAGAGCAAAATTCCTCATCCCTACCCACCACTATCACTTTCTCTATGTTCATTCTGTGCTAAAACTATTCTTTGCCTCAGGATTTCACTATTGGACTGTCTGAAGAAGAAAGAAAGAGAGCAATAAAAACCTGTTAATACTTTCCATCTGTCCTAAGGGCTCTCTGGTAAAAAACCATGTAGTCTGTGCTTTTTCAAGATCATTGCCTTTTTTGTTTTCATATGGTTCCAAATGATGCCTTAGTGATACCACCATATTAAATAAACTCATTTCAGAGTTTTCCAGCACCAAACAAACAAACAAATAAACAAAAAACTGCTCAAGGTTGATAGGGAACTAAGGTACTGGTCACCAGCTGTGATCTCTTTTCCCACGTCCCTATAGAATGGCCTGAGGAGGCTTTGTTTTTTCCTCTTACTGCAGCCCACACTTGCCTCTCACAGTCCACTGATAGCTAAAGAAATAGTTGATTTGCAGGCACAGGGTTGGGAGGAGGCATAAGTCTTTAGTTTCTGTATTAGCTCCTTACACTAACCCCTGTGTACCCGAAAAGAAATACGAAATATACTTTTAGGTCCTAAAAGACTCAGATAGTTGAATCTGATTTAAGCACCCATACAGACAGGGTTGCATAGCCCTGGACTAGGTGTATGGGATATATGATTAAAATATAACTATGGGTTCTCGCTTTTCAACCTGCATATACTCTAGTAGAAGAAATAGAAAAGCAGTATAGCAGCACAGCCTAGCAGAAATAGTTCACCATCCCAAATGGGAAAAATCACTCCAAATATAAAACTTGGAAATAGGGGTCAAGAGAAAACAAATAACCCAAGTAGGGGTCACCCAGCTGGTTCAAAGCATAGGACCATCTAATTCTCCCCCTTATCCTGTTCATTTTAAAGATGGGGGAAAAACTGAGGCCCAGAGTAAGGAAGTGACTTATTCAGCGTCTCATATAGTATGTTAGAAAGCAGCCAAAACTTAATGTAAGACTTCTGTGTTAGTTAAGTTCTAGATTTGGCTGCTGTTTTAGATATTCCAAATGACAATGACTAGACTTATTGTGGTAATCATTTCACAGTGTATGCAAATATCAAATCACTGCATTGTACACCTGAAACTAATATAATGTTATATGTCAATTATACCTCAATAAAAATTAATAATATTAATATAACAAAGTAAATACAATAATTTTAAAAATATGCTTAAATATTTGAAGACCCATAAAATAAAAACCACAACAACAGTAACAGTGACTTAAACAAGATAATACAGAACCACCCTGGTCAGTGATCCAGGATCCTTGTTGCTCTGCTGTTCCTAAAGTGTTGTTCTTATCCATATGGTCTGAGATAGATTTCTACCACCAAATGGGGAAAGAGGACTCATGCTCTACCATTTTAAGAACATCACAGGGAATTTGCATACACCAGAACTTAGTCTCATGGTCACCCTAGCTGCTTAGGAGGATAGGAAACATAGTCTTTAAATAAGCAGTTATATTCCCAGTTATAAAATCTATTACTGTGGATGAAGGGGAAAAAGAAATAAGGGAAAAACAAGCAGTGTGTGCCATGTATACTGTTGCACAACTATAGTTCAGAGACATGAACTTTGTCTTCATGCATTTGTCCTTTCCTGTAGTTTGATTAACACTTATATCAGCTTCAGATCTGGATGGGGTTGTGGTCTTATTCCTAACCTAAATGACTCATGGCAAGGTAGCAGAAAGCAGGTGGTACTATGCTTGGTTGGGTATGCTCATTAGTGTGACCCTAAAGACCTGCAGTCTTGGGGAAGTGGATTTAGCAGACCTGGACTGCACGGGTGCTCTCCTCAATAGCCGCAGCCTCCACTGCCAACTGGCCCCACACCCATATTTGAGGGAGATAAAGTGATTGCAAGTTTAGCAGCTCAGTCCAGAAGAGTCTCTGTCTATCCCTTTGACTGTCCTGACTGTCATAGGAACCATCAGACCATAGGCTGCCCCATGGTTTCTGAGCTTCCCCTGCATCATTCTTGGTGTTGTGGAAAGCATGACTGGGATATGTGGCCTTGACGAACAGGGGAGTAGAGGGAGAGAGAAAAGGAGGTACAGGATTGGCTCTACTCCCAACTAGGAAGCAATGGAAATTCCCGTTGAGGGGGTCCATGAAATACTCCCCCAACATCCCTAGCATCTGCTCTTACTCTACTCGACCACTTAGGCTCCTCTGGGAAAACTTCTTAACACATTATCCAGAACATTTTTATGTCAGGTCATTTTGCATGACTTTTTTCATAGCCTCCCAGCCTTCCAAGGGCAGATCACCCTTCAGAGGATTTCTATCAAAAGGCCAGGACAATGCAAAGTGATTGCATTTGTGCTAGTACTAACAAATGTGGCAGGATGGGAAGAAGAAGAGACATATTAGCCTTACTCCCAAATCAAAATGTTCTAAATTCTATCTCTCACTTCCACAATTTCTAAATTTGTAGAATCGGTGTGATAATAATATGTAACCTTAAATACCTTTCTGTCTAGTATATGTTTATACTGGGAAAATAAAACTATCTATCTTGTATGACCCTGAAAGGCAAAAACTTAATTGAAGGGAGTCAGTTTCTGGCTAAATATAAGAGGAATTGTGTCTTTTAAACAACAAAACTTAGTTCAAACTATATTACAAAGTGATGGTAATCAAAACAGTGTGATAGTGGCATAAAAACAGACACATCAATCAGTGGAAGAGGATAGCCCAGAAATAAACCCACATATATATGGTTAATTAATTTATGACAAAGGAGTCAAGAATCTACAATGGGAAAGGACAACCTATTCAATAAATGGTGTTGGGAAAACTGGAGAAATACATTCAAAAGACTGAAACTGTCTTATACCATACACAAAAATTAACTCAAAATGGATTAAAAACTTTAATGTAAGACCTGAAACTATAAAACTCCTAGAAGAAAACAGGAGATAAGCTCCTTGACATCGATCTTGGCAATGACTTTTTGGGCCTGACTCCAAAGGCAAGGGAAGCAAAAGCAAAAATAAACAAGTGAGACAACATAAAACAAAAAACTTCTGCACAGTGAAGGAAATGAGCAAAAAAGTGAAAAGGCAGACTACTGAATGAGTGAAGATATTTGCAAATCACATTTAATAAAGGGTTAATATAAAAAATATATAAAGAATTCATATAATACAACAACAATAAAACAATCCAACTTTAAAAAATGGGAAGAGTATCTGAATAGACATTTTTTTCAAAGAGGACATGCACATGGCCAACAGGCACATGAAAAGAAGTCAGACAT